AAACAAAAACAGAAAAACCAGGCTGGATTCACTGCCCACTGACAGATGCCACTGCCCTGGAAATATCCTTATAGAAGCACAAACTTTAAGCTACTTCAACTAGACAGCCTGTGAGCCCACTTTGGATGACACAAGATCACTACTTGCAATGAGAACAGACAGCTCCTATTCTAAAAATCACAGGCTATAAAAACCCAGGACTCAGGCGCAACACTTTCCAGAAACCTGCCACAATGAAGGTTCTGGATCTTGGCTTTCTCTACCTCCTCCTTGAAGTGAATGAGGCTATAAAGTATAGAAAATGTGAACTATATGATGAACTTATGAAACATGGACTTGATGGTTATGATGGCATTGGCATAGGACACTGTAAGTTCTTTCCGTTGGGTATTTGCAGCTTCTTTTCTGATTTAATATTCATTTAGACACCTTTTCTGCAACCTTTTTTTCTCGGGTGAAATTCACTGTACTGTATTTAACTGTTGATTTTTCCAAAAAACTATTTGTTGTTGTTATATTGACAATTTATTGTACAGGGTGTAATTAGTTCTTGTTACTGTTGAATTTAAATACTTATTTTTATTCTTCCATAATGTTACACATTATTTGCAAATCTTGCACATTTTGAAAATAGGTCTAATTCTGAGAGGATCCAAAATTAGACACAGAAATGCAAAACACTTAAGGGAGGACTCATTAATTTTTAGACAATTCTTGCATGTTTACACTGGGGTGGGCATCTATAGAAGGTACAAGAGTAAATTTTCAGCCTCCGGGACCTCTGCCAGCTGAGCTATACCCCAAATTTCAAAACAACCCACCCCCAAAGAAATCAAAAGTCAAAAATGGCTTTTGAACCAGTTCATGGGTATTTGCAGGAGTTACATACCCTCCAACATTTCATAGATGAAAATCATGGCATGTTTGACCAAACAACATCAGAGCGTGGTCAAGATGTCAAAAATTATTAATGAGAAAGAACAGGCTATCTAGAAGATGCTGCAGCAATTTGCTTTTGCCTGAGCTTACTATCCTCTCCTTCCCACCTGCTTAGTTAACTGAATGTCAACTACTTTGGCACTGATGCAAGCTGAGGACAAAAGGTAGAAAGTGGGAGAGGGAGAGAGAAAATGGAATATTTTAGAAACAGGTGAAAAAGTTGGATGACACCGGATTAATTAAAACTGTCCCTTCCAAGTTGGAACAGTTGCAGATTATTGTGTTGTGGCTCACGGACCTGAGAAATGTATAACTACTGTTCTTGGAATCTCACAGGAGCACAAAAACAGCTTTTTTCAACAAAAATGCTCTTGAGGAGCCACCTCTGTTATATAGGTAGTGATCCATCTTCTACCATATTGAAAAGAGATGGTAACCACTTCCTAAATTTCCTTTCATTTCAGCCATTCATTTAAATCAGGGGGATCATTTCAGACAAATAAAAAAGAGAAGGATAGGACACTGTGAGAAGTAGAAAGGAGCTTAACACTGCAGTGGGAGCAATTCATTTTTTACTCTTTTTTTTATTACTGTGTTGTTTTTGTTGTCATTTGTTGTCATTGTCTCTTCCTCTTTCTTTTTTTAAACTTCTCTACTTCTCCCTTTTACCTTTTTCTAACACCACTGGCTTGGAGGAGGATTTAGCAAGGTGGCATCAAATATCTGACTTCTCCTTCTTCCAGTAGATTTGCTGGGAAGGAAAAATGATGGCACCCATTGATGCTTTTGCACTGGGACCATCAAAACCAATGGTTTTAATGTATGTATGTGTGTGATTTCAAGTCACCCATGGACTTATGGCAACCCCATGAATTTCATAGGGTTTTCTCAGGCAAGGAATATTCAGAGGTGGTTTTGCCAATTCCTTCTTCTGAAATGCAGCCTACAGCACCTGGGTTCATTTGTGGTCTCCCATCCAGGTACTAGCCAGGGATGATCATGCATAGCTTCCAAGATCAAATGAGATCTGGTGCCTTTAAGGGTTTTAATACACTGTGAGGGGGAAAGAAAAGAAGACTGAGAGCTTCCCTCACTGCAACGGCAAAGGATCCCTTTCTCCTAATAGCATTCAAGAGGCAACTTACAGTCCCTGAAATAGAAGTGAAATGAACATCCTCAGTCAACAATTTGTGAGTGAGATGTGAATCCATGCAAGAACATGACAATATCTTTATCTTGATTTTTCCCCATATCTCTGTAGCCTCCATTACCTTTTCATCCCTTCCATAGCATGTTGTAAGACTTTGTGATGAGTTTTTACATGGATATCTGTGCACTTTTAAATTCATGTTTCCATGTGTAATTGAGGCTGCCAGAGTTGAAACTGGTGGGGACTCCTTTATCTTAAATAACTATGTTTTAGAAGGTGTTGCTTGTCACACGGCCATGTAACAAGCAACCCTTGCTGAAATTCTCTCTTTTATACTACCATTAAAGGTACAGAGCTATTTCTGGTTTTCGTTCTGGAAATCTTAATGTGCACGTTTCTATGTATCTTACCTAATGTACACATTCTGACTAGGGCACATATATTCTTTTATTTAAAAAAAACCCCAACTGTGCTTATATTAGCTGTTTGCATTCTGAAATATACATTGTTGTGTGCATCGATTTCTCTGAAATGCACAATTATTTTCTGTGAATTTATTTCTTTGCGATTTCTCTCCATAAAATATAAGGAATCACAAGGAGAGGTGTGTTTCTTCTCACAATACACTTGGTGAGAGCTGTGAATATATGGCTTTCATTAAGACTGTCAGAATCCATGAGGTTTTCTTCCATCCCTAAGTTGTTGTCAGCTATATTAGTCCAAATTTGCTTTGGATATGAAATTCTGGAGCTTAAATTGTACTGATAGTCCTGACTAGAGAGGCCCATTACTATGTGTTGATTCCCAATTCAACAATTGATTGAATGGGTCTACTGTAGCTGAAGACCCAGCGTGGTGTAGTGGTTTGAATGCCAGACTAGGACTCTGAAGATCAGGGTTCAAATCCCAGCTCAGCAATGGAAAGCCACTTGGGGAAGTCACACTCTCTCAGCCTCAGAGAATGGCAAAGGCAATCCCCATTTGAACAAATCTTGCCAAGGAAACCCCATGATAGGTTAACCTAAGAGTTGCCACAAGTTGGAAACAATTTGAAGTCACACAATAGCAACTGGAACTGGAACTTACCAACAGGATTTTGGCCTGCATGCTGAAGTTGTCAATGTCACAATTCTAAATATTTAAGTTTTGACTGGACCTAAAAGGTGAGGAATGTTTAAAAATGCAGCTTTCTGACTTCAAAATCTCATGTCAGAGCTGTTAGGAAACAGAACACACTGTGAATTTCCAATGTTCAGTTTGTGCTCTCCTTGCAGGGATATGCTTGGCCTTGTTTGCCACTCAGTATAACACAAAGCACTATGAGTTCACACAGGGTCACCCATACTATGGAGTATTTTATCTCAGTGGCCTACAGTGGTGCACTAATGAGAGGCATCCCTCAATGAACCTATGTAAAATACACTGTGAAAGTAAGTGATTGCTTTATATATTTGTCTTATGAAATATCACCAATATTTAAATTATTCCACTGGCTGCCAATTATTTTCCAGGCAAGGTACAAAGTATTGGTTGTAACTTTTAAAGATCTACATACTTTGGATCCAGTTTATTTTTATTTATTTGTTTATTTATTATTTTATTTCTATGCCACCTTTCTCCCAAAAAAGGGACCCAAGGCGGCTCACAAATAAAAATATACTAAAAACTTATTACAAACATTAAAACCACCTACCCACCTTCTCCCATATAATCCAACCCAAACAATCAGGTCCTTGATGGGATATTTACATCAGTCACCCAAAACTACGTTGACAACTGTTATCCAGAGGGCATTTTATTCAGCCATTTCCAATAGTGGAATGATCTGCCGGAGATTTGTCAGAGTTCAATAATAATAATTTTTTATTTATAAGCAGCCCCTCTGCTCAGCAATCGGGGTGGCGAACAACATATTAAAACAAGGAACAGTTAAAATATACCCAAATCCCATGCCCTAACCCTCCCACCCTTTGAAAAAGAATTAAATTATGAAGAAATTAAAACCATACATTAAAACACAATACAATACAGCCCTTTGGCCGATCTATATATAGTAGGACAGGGTGCGAGATGCATAGTAAAACTCCGCCATTGTCAGTGATGTTATTCTGGGAAGGCCTGCCAGAAGAGATCTGTCTTTACTGCCTTTTTAAAGGCAGCAAGAGTGGAGAGATGACGGATCTCGTCTGGCAGGCCATTCCATAGCCTGGGAGCAGTCACAGAAAAAGCCCTCTGGGAGGTCTGTGCCAACCTAGTCTTCATGGGTTGAAGCAGGTTCCTCCCAGAGGACCGAAGGGTTCAGGGGGGTTCATACGGGGAGAGACGGTCCCTGAGATAGATGGACCCAAGCCATGTAGGGCTTTAAAGGTTAAAACTGACACCTTGTACAGTGCTCGGAAACTAATTGGCAGCCAGTGGAGGGATTTAAGCACCAGTGTTATGTGCTCCCTCCTGGATGTTCCAGTAATTAACCTGGCTGCCATATTTTGAACTAATTGCAGTTTCCGAGTTAAGCACAAGGGTAGCCCCATATAGAGTGTGTTGCAGTAATCCAGACGTGAGGTTACCAAAGCATGTACCACAGTTTCCAGATCCCTCATGTCCAGATAAGGGCGCAGTTGGCATATCAGCTGAAGCTTATAGCAGGCACTCCTGACCACCGCACTCACTTGACTAGTCATGTGAAGCGACGGGCCTAAGAGTACCCCCAAGCTGCGAAGACAGTCCTTAGAGGAGAGTGTGACTCCATCCAGGACTGGGGACTGTATTCCCAGATCTGGTTTCGGGCCTCTGACTGTCAGTACCTCCTTTTTGTCAGGATTTAACTTCAATCTGTTTTTCCTCATCCAATCCATTACTGCTGTGAGACAGTCATTAGAGGAGAGACGCCATCTGAAATCTGAGCCGATGATCTGGTCATGGAGAAGTATATCTGGGTGTCATCAGCGTACTGATGGCACCGCTCTCCATGCCTCCGAATGATCTCACTCAGCGGCTTCATGTAAATATTAAATAACATCGGGGACAGGATGGTGCCCTGAGGGACGCCACAATTAAGCTTGATTGGTTGATGTATATATTGGATTTATATGCTATTTGAACTGATGTTATGTGTTTTAAAACTATTGTTATGTGTTTTTTAAATTGGTGTTATGTGTCCAGTCTGTTGTTGTATTTTAATTTATTGTTGTTCCCTGCCTCAATCCATAGGGAGCAGCAGGTAAGATGATGTTATTGTTGTTTTAAAGAGTTTTATGAAAATTACATGTTTTTGCTAGTTTCTCTTAGTTTGCACACAAATTCCTTGGAACATAGCATTCTGCTAGGAAAAATTGTTTTTTCTAAGCACTCCTAGCATTCAGGACTTATCTTTTTCTTGTGTCCCTTCGTCTAATATGGCCATGTAGTAGATAGGGCAAGGGTCAACAGAGAAGCATCTAGCTATATTCTAGTAGGCAGGCGGGCATAAAATGATTAAGGTATCTTCCATGAACTTCTGGGATTACTTCAGAGATCCTGGGGGATGACACCCAGCTATCAGAAGATAGTCAGACACTTCTCAATCCCCTCCAACTCCCTCTCAGCCATTACATGATCAAGTTGGAGTGGGCTGAAAGGAGAACAGTGACTTCAATGGTTAGGGTTTGTTGTGCAAGAGACTCAATGAATGCCTCTCTCCATAGAGACCTTAAAAAGACACAGGTAAATATAAGTGAGAGTTATACCTGTGTATGTCACCAACAGGATATCAGCCAGTTTTTAATTTACTGACAAGGCAATTTGCATTTAAAATAAGGTCAGCAGGAACTGCAGAACATTGTTTAGGAGCTGCTTAATGTTTCCA